GGCCGCGGCGGCCCCAGATTCCGTTCTCTGGAAACCCTGTTAGTAACGAACGCCCCAGCAAAAACGATCAAGCGCAGCCTGATGCAGCTGGCAACGCTTGTTCAACACCGCCCACTTGAGGTATTCACCTAGCGAATACGAGGTGAACGACATAGACTCTCAAAAGCCAGCAGATCAGCGGTCGAATAATCGCTGAACAAACACTCGCGCCATTGATGATATCTGGGCTCGGTCAAGGGAGATGCTCTCCAAATATTACACCCAGCAGTCAGTAATCCTCCTTTAGGTCAAATAGATAGCCAAGATGTGAATTCCTCCACTTCGCCGCCTTGCATTCATAGTCCATGTACCAGACACATGCTCCAAAAAGAACAGAGCAAGGTTAACAACATCCAAGAAAACTCAAATGCTCTCCATCATCCGATTCTCAGGCTGGTCGCGCTGCCCGTGGCACTGCCCAGGCTGCCTCCACCATTTCGATCCTGGTGTCCGCCGTTCATTTCGCCAACACCGTGGTGGGGCGATCCGACTATCTGGTAGCCGCTGCTGGGAGCTGGAGTCCAGCTCCTCTCTGTGGCGGCCACTTGGGGTGGGTGTCGTCCGGCTGCAGTAGGCCATCTTTCAATGGTCTTCTCGTCGTCAACCACCACCACCATCCAGACGCCAATCTGACCTGACTGGCCCAGTAGCGGAGTGCAATGAATCCACTTGTTCTTGCCTTGGTCGTCGCCTTTAGTGACCCAGCGCACTTTGGCGGTCACGCCTCGTCCTTCGGCAAATGCAGTCGTCAATTCCTCACGGACTCGATTCGAACCGCCGATCTTGTTCAGGAAGGGTGACTGAAGAATTCCAGGTAACCGTTGTGACGGGCTCGCAAAGAGGATTCGCAAAGAAGGATATGGCCGCACAAGGAGATACTGCGTGATCGGTCAATCATGGGCACACAGCGGCGGCCTTTGTAGAAACTTACGTGCTGATATATCCCACTCAGTCTCCCATTTATGCTGGCAACTGATGGCACCATGGTATCCGGGTCCTTGAGCAACAGCCGAGGTTGATGGTGAGACGACACGCTCTCAATGTCATCCTCGACAATTTCGCGGTGCATCTTCCCTCCATGGCGCTTGATGGTATTCAACTCGCCTTGATTAAGCATCTCGCTCAGTTCCCGTAGCTCGTCGTTCTTCTCGGGGTTAGGCTTCTCGGGCAGCGGTGGATCCTCGCCCCGAGCACGCAGGTCCAACAGCTTTCGGAGAGATTCCATTTCTGAGCAGTCCTTGACAAGCCCACTCACGTCGACTTGAGCTCCGATATGATATCGAACGATGCCTCTACTGTCAGAAAGAGGAGCCATCATGAACAAATTTACAAATGGCGAGCCGTCCCGTCGACTGCCCCTCGTCAGATACTTCTCGAATCACGCGGGGTGCATACTCACTAATTGAGAAGGACCTCTTGATGTTGCTTGCCTGCTTTGAGGGCTTCTCGGATCCTCCGCAGACTGTGCGGATTGGTCATGGGCCCTTGTAAAAACCTGCAATTCCTACCTAGAACATATGACATGCCGTATTGGGTCGTCCGATTGAATTCTGCTTCGTGTCAGCAACCCACAACGGACCATTGCACGGGTATTGGGCAGGCGTACCTTCCGAGGCGAAGACAATCGGGTTGTCGTGCCTCGAGGGATCCGTCAAACAAAACACTTCTGCCAACCCATCTGAGGCTTCCCGGAGTTGCGGCGAGAGCGAACCCGTTATTCTGGCGGTAATGCTGTTACTCACGACTTGAATGTACTGATGTGTGATGAAAGCAGGCAGTTCCTCCATCGCAAGGATTTCAAAAGCCTTGTGCGCCCTCTCTTCCAATGCCGTATTGATGGTCGGCTTGACCGGTCTTTGTGTAAACTCATAGCCTTCTATCGGGTCTAGACCCTCGCAGATGGCGTTGGCATAATTGATGGCCCGCAGCGATTTCAGAGAATCCAGGTAGTGCACGAGCATAGGCACCGACTGTGGTCGGTACATTCCAAGGAAAGACGTGAATTTGAAGAGGTAACTGGGATCGGCAAAGATGACTTGTAGATGTCCCCTCGAGAAGAGGGCTTGTGTCTGCGTCTCCAGCGAGAAGATGTCGCCCTGGTCTAGGGGAGGAGGAGCGATAAGGTTGAAGGACGCCGGATCATCTTCGAGAATGGGCGCCAGGTTGTCACCGTCTTCTATCTGCGCATTTGCTTGTAAACGAGGCAGCTCTTGTTCCCCGCGCCGACCACCATTGACTTGACGTAGTTCATTTTCTTCGAGGGGTTCGCGTAACAGAGCATTGGTGGAGTAGGTCACAGGTAGCTCTTTGGCGTCGGAAGCAGCAGTCGGCGCGGTCGAGACTGGACGGTCGGTGGATTCGGGGGCGACGAGGGGGAGAGAGGTAGAGCCGGGTCTTTCTGCGCTGAGGGAGGAGGTGGCAATCATATCCAACTTGGCGATCAATAGGGGACAGTGGAATCACCAAGATTGATTGCTCTGGGTCTTTCTGAGACCGTGGACGAGACGAAAGGAGGGCCTGATCGATGGAGCAGGGAGAAACCGCGGGTTTAAGTGATTTCTGACTGGCATCGGCTGGGGGGAAAAAGGCTCGGCCACACTTGTTGTTTTGTAGTTGGGACCTCGAGGGTGAAACAGATTGCGGTGAACGACTTAGACGTGACAAAGATCGCGAGGCATAGGGCAAATCATGCTCGTACTGGTGGTTTCTTGGGGATCGCCTGCACTGGCGTCCGGCTAAGCCGCTGTGCGAAGAGGAGATAGCGAAACCACAGACGTCAATATGTGGTGGAGGAAGATCGAATCGAGCATGGGCGTCCCTCAGTTGGGATCTTCTCATGCAGGTACGGAGCGATGATCTTCCACTGGGGCCGCATTGGCACCACAACGGCACCAGCGCCAGTATAACACCAGCATCAGCATCAGGACCACAGCGGGCCTGAAACATCTATCGAGGAGCTCCAAATTATGGGGAAAAGGGTTTCCCGGTGTGTCTCTGAGTGCCAGCTGCTGCTCCTAGCATTCTTCTGACTTGTCCAATTCCCCGTCGATGCCAACCGCAGGCTACGAGTACGACGACTACCTTGCACGAATACGAGGACCCAGTACCCCCAGGGATCCACGCCATGTTTGCGCTATGCTCCCGCCATCCATGTCCAAGCAGTGTACTGTTCTCTGTCCAGAGTGGTGCGTCCAGCCGCAACAACAGCATCAATGGTAAGGACTCCTTTATCGCCTTGTTCATCTGTAGCAGCCTCGTCTCACATTTCCAGGCTTTAATTTTACCACTTGCCCCCCAGGGTCAATGGTGTGCGCTTGTCGGTGAATCCCCGAATCCCCGGATGACAGGATCAATAAACTCTGGCCAATCCATCGTGCAGATCCCCGATTTGTGCCTCCACAATCATAACCACAACCACAACCACCGCGCCTCGACCTTTAAGATATCTCAGGGAACCCTATCTTTCTCAGTGGGGGAGGCTGTGAGACGGGCTAAAGGAAATCAGCCTTACACCATAACTATCAGATCTCTGAGAACACACGTGCGATCTCATTGGATGTCCCGACACAATAACAATTTGCTTCTCACTAACTGCTGATCTTTGGCTGATGAGCAAAGTCAGCCTTGGGGAACATCTTTATACTCTGCACTAGAAAATGGCAGAAGCCGCTCCAGTTCTTCCATGCTACATCGACAAGGTTGTTGAGTTTCCGGATGGAACTGCTTTTGAGCTGCTGAAACCCTTGGCAACTTATCGCTCTTGTCACGATGGCACCCCCGCAGAGGCGCGCATAGTCCTCACATGTCGCCCCTGCAGCGGAGACTGTTCGCCAGTGGACGAATATGTCATGAAGATTAAGATCCAGTATGTCTTCAAGTCGTACCGAACCGATTGACACCATAAGGCTGACTTGAGACATCGAGAATACCGGGGGGAGAACGACGACCGAGTAACAGCCCTGAACTTGGGCCTAGTACTACGACAGCACATGAACTCCAAGCGCTGGAAAAGTTCCGAGAGACTGACAGCGCGTGTACGCCGGTGCTGGTCAACTTCAAGAAGGCGGTCCAGCCTGCCGAGGGACAATTGCCGGGGGGATATCTCACGTTCCTCGTCATGACAAAGATGCCCGGCGATTCACTCTTTAACATGTACTACTGGGGAATGACGACCGAGGAACGACATGACATTACCCAGAAGTTCCTCGTTGCTCTCAGGTAGGTCATGTATCCCCAAAGCACACAGGAGTCACCACACCTATTGCATCCTAGATGTGGTCCCCACCATGCTGACAGTCGACAGGTGGATCTACGCTCAAGGCATTGAACCCGTAGACTGCGGACTGCGGAACATTCTATGGGACCCAGAGACGAAGAAATGCAGCATCATCGACTTCGAGCTCTGGCGTGAAACCGAGACATCGGTGGGTGACGAAACAAAAGAACTACAGAGATGGGGCCTTGCTCGCCAGCCCGCTGCTAAGAACCACTGGGAGGCTTGGAATCAGATGTTTCGATAGACGGGGGGTTTTTGTTCCAGACAAGTTTGGCTCTACGACAGAATTTGGGAGATTTAAGACAATACATGGCTGTGGTTTGGGTTATGAGACAGGACAGACACGATAAGATGAGCGGGACCAGCTTGATGACAAGCAGATCACAGGGTCGGAACAGATCACCAAGGAACATTTGCGCTGCGGTCGAGATTAGGTGGTTACAACCCAATACCTATGTCCGTGGCAGCCTCATTTACCTGACTTGTTCGCCATCTCCATGTCGTTCCTTGAAAACTCCGGGAGCTCATGATCTCTAGGAAGTTCCAGCTCCAGGAACTCTACATACTGTGGCCTAATGTGGGCAACTTGCCAACAACACTTAGTCAAAGAAATCCAATTTCATTGGCGTAGAGTGTGAAGGCTGCTGAACGCCCGACACGGAGAGGCCAGTTCGACCAACAAGAGTCAAAGGCAATTCTGTAGAGACTGCGCCTGCTTTCTCTTCTTTGTGAGCCCCTTTCGGCTGCCCGCATACGATATCGGGTTCAGTTTGTCGCCACTCGTCAGGCTCTTGTTCCCTGGGTAGGGACTGCTGGCTCCCACAGTGAATAAGTCGGCCGCGGCTGCAGATTCCGCGGAGTCGAGCTTCTCCACAACATGTGGCATGACATCGCAGACGAAGTTCGTCAGTCCCAGCAGGTGCCGGCCACGGAGCAGACTGAGCCAGTTTCCAAAAGCCCAGGCTGGAAGTGGGAGGGCCGTGGCAAAGAACTCGTAGGCTGTGTGCTGGAATCTCTTCTCAGCATCATTGCGATGTGACCGCAAATCTCGCAAGTCTCGCATTAGGAATCATCATTGATGTTGTAGACCTCGTCTGGGGTAAAGTTTGGGAGGTTGACCTGAGCCGTGGCTTGAGATGGTGGAGTCAGCGGGTGTTGGATGTTCGCCAGGCGGAACTGACTGGGCAAGATGTGAAGTTAATGAGGCAACGACTGGGTGTGTTTTGTTTCTATAATTGGTGACGTCATGCCCCATGTCACCGCCACCACCACCACCACCGCGTCGAGGGTGGCAGTGCGCGACAATGAACAAGGGACAATGACAATCCCGTAAACAAGACACAACATTTACATTTGCCCTTTGAGTGCCTACTCGTCGTGGTCTGTTGTGGTGCTCCACTAACTGCGATGGGTCCCGGAATTGACATTGACCTGGAGGCTGCGCGCCTCGCAAACATGCAGGAGAAGCAGAAACTGCTCGAGTCGCTCAACCTGCTGCCCTCGAAGGGAAGGACGGGACAAAAGCGTGCAGCGGCGGCAGGGGAGGCAAGGACGCCACCGGCAAAGAGGCAGAAAGGAGCCGCCAGTCCCAATCCCAACCCGAGCCCGGGACTCTTGAGGACGGCGTCCAGGGCTTCTGCGCGCATTGCGGCCGCGGCGGCGGGAGGTCGTTTGTCTTACCACGAGGATGAGGACACCAACGGCGCTGTCGCCGACAGAAATACTGCCGTGGGAGACGATGATGACCATGGGAATGGCTCATGGCGACGATCGAGGAGTAGGCGAGGCACTCGTAGCGCCCGGCGCTCTGGTCATCATGGCCATCCTCAAAGGGCTCCCCTTGCCGCCAACTCGTCTTCTTCAACCTTGAACCCCCTCTCGTCGTCTCTATCTCTACCCACCACCCTCCCTTCTCTACTACAGCACTACAACTCATGGACCCCGTCGTCACCTCTTCCAACACAGGACCCTGAAACAGACAACTACCACTTCGTCTCACACCCCGCCTTCCAACCCAACAAATCCCCGCTGTCCATCCTCCTTGAAGGCGCCTTCGGGGGCAGTTTCTTCTCTCCCTGGCTTAGCCGCACGCTAGGCGTGACCCTCGTGGATGACCACCTGTCGACGCTGCCGGGACCGTGGCTCGCGCAGCTGCAGCCCGCGCAGAAATACCTCACCTCTCCGAGCTACGACGCCGAGCTGAACCGCCACGGCCGTGCGTGCGGGCAGACGCTCGCGCAGTGGGAAGACGCCGGGTGGATCAATTTCCGGCACGACGCGCGCGGCTGGTTCGAGTGGTACATCCGGTTCTGGCTCGGGCGGCGGCTCAACGACGGCGAGGACGAGAGGCAAATCGGTCGGTGGTTGAGGTGTGTCGGCCCCAGGGGCAGGTGGAAGAGGATGCTGCTGAAGAAGTACGTCGAGATGGGCGTGCGCAGTGTCTTTGACGACGACGACGATGACGACGATGGTGGCGCCCAACATGAAAACAGAGTCAGTCCGGTCATACACCAGACCTGTCTACAGTGGGGGTATCAAGTCACACAAGCGGATTTGGACGACGCATGGGGAGAGACGAGGTGAGCTGCAGCTGGAGCTGGATGAACTCTATCGCTGGATAGTCCCTCGAATCCATTCAAAGAGTGTCTCACCAAATCATGACCCTTCCTTCCCTTTTGAGACGAATCTAGAAGTTGAGAAAATCAACTTTTTGATTTTTGGCATTGCTTTTCGCTATATGTATTCCGAGAAAACGCACGCACGCACGCACGCGAGGAGGGTGCTTTCCTGCTCACGCCTTTCCTGCCGAAAAAAAGAACAACTATCCTGGATGCATGTGTAGCGGAGACCTCACAGAGTCACAATTAACCCGCTCTGTCTCTCTCGCCTCGCCCAAGGGTATCGAAATCGAAAAATCGCAAATACACAAACAACGCCCGCGATGATTAACTCGTAGGTATGTAGGTAAATCCCACACGTCGCCTCGCCTCGCCTTGCCTTGCCTACAAGGTACAAGGCACCCAAAAGGACCAAGGGTCATGCACGGTTCTTTTGTGGGGGTGAAAACAAAAATGAGATTCGTGGTCATTATTATATCCCTCCTCTTCCTTGGAAGAAATCCCATCCCATATGCATGTGATGCGACGCCTGCTTTCGCTTTTGGCTGGCCAGATTATCAAGTGACGTAGTTGTAGGCCGGAGATGTGGCTGTAAGGTCTGGTGGTTGTCTCTGGTAGATGTAAGAAAATCGTCAGGTTCTACGCAGCAATCGCCGTCGGACCGGGCGCAGTCATTGGTCTTTGTGCCAGGATCATGTCCCAGGTTTGTGTGTTGAAGTGAACATACGGCAATTCGAGGTCTGGATCGTACTGGTCACTGTTGATGATGTTAATACGAGGAACTGTGCCTCGAAGAACGAGCGACTGCGGTCGCCGTCTGATTGTGGTACAAGCCAAGTCGTCTTTGATGCCGTCTCGACGTTTGATGAGACTGGTAGAGCTCAGAATCTCTTCGAGTGTGCATGCCGCACTGCCCGTCGATGTGACGGGCGCAACATCACCGTCCTCGTTGCCGTGCGAGGAGGCACTGCTGACCGAAGAATTGGAAGACTCGCGAGACATGCTTGGAGGTGTTGTACCTGAGGTTTCCGATGGTGGTAGCGGAGGTAAGTCCTCGGTGTTGTCAGCTGCCATTTCATGGACGATGTCGCCCTGAAGCTCGTGCGGTTCTTGCTGATCCTCTTGAATGACCGACTTGGGTTCGGCGGTCAGCTCCGCTAGCGTTGAGGAAGCGACGTCACGAGCAACTTCATTCAGACCATTTCCGTAGCCTTCAACGTATATCTCGCAGAATGAGGGGCGCTTGGAAGGCATCTCGTCCCTGTTGGTCTGACCTCCACGAGAGATTAATCTTCGGAGTGAGGCGGAGCGGGAGGCGGGCGGTGTTCTGGTAGACAGGGAGGCCATCAGAGACCCAGGGAGGTTCGCAGGGAGTGTGCGCCGACGGAGCTTCGCCGATCTTCCTCTTGTCAGTGTCTCGCCGAGCGAAGAAGACGACGCATTGGTGTGTGAATAGCCATTGTCGGGAGCCAGCTGAGACTTCTTCTTGTTTAAAATACGGACCTGGGGTAATGGTGTTTCTTGCCACGGCTTCTGTTTTGGAGGCTGACAGCAGAGGGAATATGTTAGATTAGAGGTGTTGCGTACTTCCTTCGGGGGCTGGGCGATCGAATGGAAAGTTTGGAGGACAGCATAGACGAGGATCCATCTCACTTTGCGGCCCTCTATAGCAGAGAGCCCTTCAAGATCATCATCGACGGTCATCTCCTCGAATTCAGAGTACTTGCGGACCAAGGGACAGTCCATGACCAATAGATCTCGATTGGAGGCACCAATCAACGCGCGTTTGTCATCCGCCTTTCGTTTCTCCCTGAGCGCCTTGCGTTTTTGGATTGGATTCCAAGACAGTCTTCGCTGAAGCTTAGGGCGTGGACTCGAGCTAGCCTCCAATGGCTCAGGTAGGAGAGGTAGTGGTTGAGTAAGGGGTTCATAAGAGTGCTTCTTGTCAAAAGCTTGGATGTTCTGAAGAGTACACACACCACCAGTCTTGGAGATGTCGTTCTCCACCATATCCACTGTGGACTCAGGGTCGACTAGGTGCTGATAGAGGTTCTTGAAATCCGAGAACATGGTTGAGTATATGGTCTGCTGAATGACCTCTTCTTCGAAACGCTTAGGAGGCCAAGAGCCATAGCGATCCTGGTAGAATGACTTGAGGAATGCTCGGAATTTATTGAGGTGATCTCGCGCTGGTTGTGGTAGACCGAGGAAGCTTCCCGAGACGTCATTTTCAAAGAAGGTCACGACGGACTTGTTGACCCTGTCCAGTCGGATGTCCATCTCCAGTCTCGCGCGATTGACGAGTGTCTTGGACTTTGCACTCAAGCCCTAATATTTGGTTAGTTTCGACCGTAGGCAGAAAGAAGGCAAAAAAAGGAGGTTGACTCACTGCATACTCGATGCTTGAGCGAAGGCCACGGTGACTCATTCCCACACAATGGGCAAATGCATCGACCCAAAGATCCTCGACCTGAAGAGCTTCGGCCAACGAAAGAGCTGCCAGAGCATGATCAACACACTCCCGGAAGTCGAGATACCTTTGATTTTCGGCGAACGACAGCACTTCGACCTTATTCTGGGAGCTATCATCAGGCCGATAGACATCGACCCTCTTCTTCAGCGCAGCCAAAGCGGACCCCAGTGTGCGGCCAGCCAGTGGTCGGTTGTAGAGCCATGCGAAGAAATTCCGTGTCGTAATGTGATGGTTGAAGATATCCTCAAGGCTCGCCCCATGAGGCGCCGGGATATACAGTTCGTGTAACGATTCCTGGGGGTCGCACCCTGCACAATTGGGCAGGACACATTGCACTGCCGCATGAATCGAGTTCCTCATCACACAGCGGTCCACCAGGGATTCGAACCCTCTGACTTTGAGGAACGCCGTATGGACTCGAAAAGCAGGCCCCCGACTGGACTGGCCCTGTTCGCGCAAGTAGACAAGACAGTCACCTGTTGGCCAGCATAGCTCAGGCTCCTAAAGGAGTTGACGTATGAGTGTCTCGTGCGAGGACGTGGTTAGAATGAGCACATACGTGAAAAAGATTGACCCAGTCTGTTGTGACTCGAGCTCGACCATCCCATCGCCTCAGCCCTGCTGAGCGAATATCATCGCGCGTCACGCGACCCTGAATGCGTCTCATGGTTGGGAGGAAGATAACAGCGAAAAGGAGATTAGAGCTATAAGACCGTGGTGCAATCGTCTATATGTGTCATCCCTGGCAAAAGTATAGGGATAGAAAGGGGGTATTATTTACAAGTGAAGTGAGGAGGAGAAAAGAGTAAGTAAGGATAAAAGATATCTTTCAATTCTGATAGCGTTGCTCCAGAGCAACACGTAAAAAAGTAGCTTGGCGGTGAGGACGAGTCTCGATTCAATGACCAGCTCTGGTGTTGGGAAATAGACTCGATGTTCAATTGCGCATGAGGCTTGCTCTGCAGCAGCTGG